AAAATAACTTTGTGATCAATCCTCGCGTTTACAAACTTTGCAGGTCTGTAAACCAAAGGAAAGTGAAGTAAGACCGTAAGAGTGCAGCCCCCTTATACCCCAGAGATAATGCAATCCTGAAATAATATGATACATAGTCTTACATGCAACTGGCCCTTTGAGGGGAACCATAATGCAGATGCGGCCCTCAATGAAATTGAGTTTGACACCCCTGATATACTTTTATTCTAATATAAAAGTAGTTTTAGGCTTACATAAAACCTATTTCATGGTCTGGTCCACCTTATAGGACCAACATCCAGTTAATTTTGTTTTAGATTCTGATGATGTTTATAGACTCTGATGATCTCTCAGCTGCTTCCTATATATATATAGTATATTTTCTCTCCAGGGTGAGTATTAATGTTGGAAGAAAGCAGTAACAACAACAACAACAATCACAACAACCTTTAATGGAAAAGATGCTGAAATCTTTATTAGTATCAGGAGACCAACAGGAAGTAATGTAATTTGGGAAGAGCTTGAATCACAATCCCGCAGAGGCACCGCAAAGCACTCTTTGGTGATGCATTTGTGAAAAAGGACATTTTTAGAATCTACATTACTATTCCTAAGAGGAAAACGTCTGTAGAAGGAAGCCTGTGCCAGTTACCGAGTGTGAAAGAATATAAACCACAGTGCAAGAATAAGCATAAAACAAGTTGGTGTGTGTGTGTGTGTGTGTGTGGAATGTATCTCTGAGGAAGGTGGACAATTCTGGAATCAGAAAGAGAAATCTGCCCTGTATTTTATGTCCTTTTTGTAATTTAATCAGATTAGTAGGGACTTCGATTGCTAAAGCAGTTCTAAGTGGTATAGAGGGAGACTGTCATCTTTACAAACTCTTCTCTTTTTCCTATCCGTCTACAGCTTTTGTAAAAACAATTGATCAAATGTATACCAAGCGATTTGAATAGATTTTGACTCATATATAATGTTCCATATTTTGTTTCCTATTTTTAACCCATATTCATTTAACTATGTTATCTGCAATTAAAAGGGTACATTCTGGGCTCTTTTCCTTGCAGATACCAACTCTCTATTTGAAAAGAGAAGAGATGTATAGGTTCTGGTAAGAAATATTTTCCTCCAGAAAATATAAATGTTTCTTAGATTTACATCCCACTTTCCTTCAGGAACTCAAGGTAGCATGCATAGCATTCTCTCCAATTTCCCTTCACAACTACTGCCAATTTGGGTTAAAGTAAGTCTTCTAGAGAACTTCTTTGGTGAAGGGTATACTTGAATTTGTATCTTGTTAATAAAGGATGCACATAATTTTTTTATTTTATGTTCTTCTCCTGCCATTATTTTTTTATAAATAACTCAAGGTCGTGAACGTAAGTAATACTCCTTCCTTCTCCTATTTTTTCCCACAACAACCTTGTTGATCAGAGAAAACAATTGGCCCAAAGTCACCCAGCCAGCTTTCATGCCTAAAGTGTCAGGATTTCAAATAATACATCTTATTCAATAAGAACTCCAAGGCAGGCAATTTCCTCAAAGAACATTTCCTCAAAGGACATATCAAATTGGCAAGTTCCTGGTGAAAAAACGGCTCTTAGTTCCCACCAGTTTTTCACCCAATTAAAAGTAAAACTTTGTCACTTCCCCCCCCCATAGTCTCCAGTCACATAGTCCAATCAGCATACAGTCAAGTTGCTAGGTGACCTCAGTCTCCACCTTTCGAACACCTGCACCAATGACCTTGATTCCCACAGGAAGGAATGTTGTTTTGGCTACAATACTCCAGCTAACTCTTCATCCCCTTCCCTGGCCCCCTCACTCAAGGAAGTGTCAGCCCTGAAGCAATGAGAAAGGAACCACCCTAGAGAAAAATCACAAAAAGGAAAATGGCCACAGTTTGGCTAACTTCAGGGTTGACATAAAGTGACTAGAACTCAGATTTTCTTAGTTTCTGGCCTGGGGCTTCAATCACTAGACCAGGCGTGTCCAACCCGCAAACCTAATTGTCCTTCAGAAAACTAAAAATCTACTTTACCTGATATTTTTTACCCAATGCACTGGGTTTGATTTTGTAAATTTATTTTTAATGAGATTTTAACTCTGTATATCATCTTAAGTTTCCTATTAGGCACCTTGATAGATCTAATAAATTATTATTGCTATTAATATGCATTAAATTAAGCACACCCTCATGTCACCATGACTTGTGATTCTCTGCTGACTTTCTTACTGAGCCTACTTGGCAATCATGTGACTGCAAAACACTGCAAACATTGTAAAAACATGCCAATTACCAAGTGATCAAATCGCAATCACATGATCACAGGAATGCTGCAATGGTCATAGGTCCAAGGACTGCTTATAAGTCTACTTTTTCAGAGTCACTGTAAGGTCAAATGATTGCTGTTCACTGTCACCTGTACAGCTTTTATTTGTATGTTTTATTCTGTAGAATCTGTTTTAATTCAGCTTTATAGGAAAATGTAACACTAATATTATAGCTCCGTTTAATCTAACCACCCCAAATTAGAAAAACTTTAAGATTTGTTTCATCTTAGTTACCTCAATAGAACAACAGGTAGAATGCAAACAGATAGCAAATGCAAAAAGAAAAAAAAATTAAATGGATAGCTTTTTCTCCTGCTACCTTCAAAATATTTGGAACCAACTTCCCACGATCCTTAGCTATTGTCTTCGTTAATTACCATGATGGAAACTGGATGTTACTAAAATCTTTTAGCATGAATGGGTGAAGGAGCAGGAACATATTTAATAGTTCTATGCCATACAAATAGCATAACTTGCAAAAGAAATACAACAATAAATGCAGAAACCAGAATGATTGGTTCTCGTTTATTCACATAGTATAGATCCTGATTCTTTTATAACTCATGGTAAACATGTGCAGTATCGGTTTCTGTACTACGTCCGGTAATTCTCAAGTTACAACCACAATTGAGCCCCAAATTTATGTTGCTAAGTGAAACATTTGTTAAGTGAGTGTATCGGTCATCGAATGAAAAAGGGTCAGAAGTCATTTTTTTCACTACCATTGTAACTTTGAACAGTCACTAAATGAAACCGTTGTAAGTTTCAACAGTACTGTACAGCAGCTGCTGCCAAAAAAACTAATGCAATCCTAAGTTGTATTAATAGAGGGATATAATCAAGATCAAGTGAGGTACTAATACCACTCTATAAAGCCTTAGTAAGACCACACCTAGAGTACTGCATCCAGTTTTGTTTACCACATTATAAAAAAGATGTTGAGACTCTAGAAAAAGTACAGAGAAGAGCAACCAGGATGATTAGGGGACTGGAGACTAAAACATATGAAGAACGGTTACAGGAACTGGGCTTGGCTAGTCTAGTGAAGAGAAGGACCAGGGGAGACATGATAGCAGTCTTCCAATATTTGAGGGGCTGCCACAGAGAGGAAGGGGTCAAGCTATTTTCTAAAGCACCCAAAGGCCAGACAAGGAATAATGGAAACTGAACAAGGAGAGATTTAACCTGGAAATAAGGAGAAACTTTCTAACAGTGAGAACAATCAACCAATGGAACAGCTTGCCCTCGGAAGTTGTGGGAACATCATCACTTGAGATTTTCAAGAAGAGATTGGACTGCCATTTGTCAGAAATGGTGTAGGGTCTCCCACTTGGGTGATGGGTTGGACTAGATCAACCTTTTGGACCTCAGGGACCACCAAACTCATAATTTTAAATCTTACGGACCACTAATATGAATTTTGACTGATGGTGGCTTGCTGGCGGTGGGAAAGTAGTAGTCACAGGACTGGCCCTTTGGTCATCCCGGAGCAGCTACTCCTCCACCCGGGTGCACCGGCTTGCCATAGACTGCAGCAGCTGCTCCGGGATGACTAAAGGGCCAATCTTGTGATTACTGCATCTCTGGAATATGGGACCAACTTTCCCACCAACGTCAGCAAGCCACCCCGGGGTGGATTTCCCTCCCCTGCTGTTGATCTTACCTTCCAGCTCCAGTTCACGTGGCTCTACTCAAGGTAAGGTTTGCACTCAACCGAAGGGTGGGGGCCAGCGGCTGGGCGGGCCTTGTGTTTCCGCTAAGCCTGGATTAATTGCTTTGGGGGGGGGACAGTTCTCTGCAGACCACCAAAATTTTCTCGCAGACCAGCAGTGGTACCCGGCTCACCCATTGGTGACCACTGGACTAGATGACTTACAAGGTCCCTTCCAACCCTGATTAACTGTTATTTGAAAATAGCTACTAAATCAAAAACTATCACATATATGCTTGTACATACTTTCCTGTACATATTTGTACATACCTGTACATACTTTCACAGCAGGGTGAAAGGATCTGCACGTCTAAAAGAATGCGTGGGTGGGGAGGGCAAATTTGCAAGAGGGGAAACGTCCTGACCCCTTGAACCACAACAACGATAGACAAACACCCAGGAACACTTAGTAAGCACAAGCATTTACTAAGGGACCGCAGTGCCAGCTCCCAAAACACTACCGGTGTAATCTAAGCAGTTATGATGTAGTATCACAATGCATTAGGAAGGAAATGTTTCACCTCAGACGCTTTGCAAGATTGGGACAGAAATGCACGTGCTTGGACAGAGGGCGGCCTATCGGATTTTAAAAAGACCAGCGAGTGAAAGTAGCGACTAGGGCTAGTTGGGGGGGGGTGCACTTTTCCCTCCCCCATTCAGAGAACCGGAACTCATATCTCCGGCCCAGCACATCGCAGAGCAGCGCTCCCTCCTCCTCAGACTCACCTTCTCTTTCCTCAGGGCCAGACCCGTCTCCAGAAGCAGCAAGCCGATCGCCCTCTGCCTGGGTCGTCTGGAGAAGACGCAGGCCGAGCGACGAGCCGCCTTGCCTTTACGCGTCCCACGCAGCGCCCGCTTCGCCAACCGAGTCCCCGAACCTCCGCGCTTCCCCGGGCCGCTTCCGAATCAGGCTCCGACCGAGGCAGCAAAGGCGCACGGGGGAGGGAAGGGGGGAGGCTTGCCGGGAAGCCCGGCAGCGTGTTTACAAAATGGCAGCGTCCAGGAGGGCTGAAGTGCTGCGTCTCTATCGGGCCTTGCTGCGAGAAAGCCAGGCTTTCAACGCTTACGGCTATAGGTAGGAAGACGGGGGCGTCTCGGGAATGGAGCCTTCGGGGCCAAGTCCCCCTCCTGCCCCCATGAAATTCACCCCACCACTCCAGTTAAATGCGCGTAGGGTGATAGCGTTTGTTTTAAATGGATAAAAAGAGCTGTGCCAAAATCCGAATGGAAGAGAGGATGGAAATGGTTTTAGTGTTAAGCGTTTTATTTTATTTTATTTTATTATTTACTTAAATCCTGAGGGAGAGGGGAGTAAGTAAAAGAAGGCCAATTCGCTAATCAAGAGTTAAAGTGGAAGTTTACCAAGGAAACAAGACAGAAATATAATACTTAAAATCAACTTACTCTGTCTTTATTTTGGCGCTTGCTGCCTTATGCTGTAAATGTGTTTGGTTTTATATGGTATAATAATGGAAACATTATTATATCTTGTTAATCTGTGCTGCATCTTAGAAAAATAGGCTAGTGATGTGTGAATGGATGCATAAAATTAAGTAAAATTAATTTAGACATGGCAATTCTGAGAATACATGGGAAAGAAGAGTTTTAAAAGGTATACAAATTGAATGCAGTACAATTTATTTACTAGGGTTCCAGATCTATCTGGGACGCTTCCGAGAATGTGACAAAAGTTTACGGTCACTTTTCTGTATCTCTTTACTGTCATTTAATGGTCATTTGGAGTTTTGCCCTCCTTACCCAGGAGATGATTTTTTTTCTGCTAGATGCATTGGCATTTTCAAAGTTTTCATTTCAAATATTTTGAGCAGAGCATGGATAGTCAGAAATTTAGAAAACAGTGTTGGTTTCTTCGGGACACTGCTAGAGGAAGGTTCATATGGTCATAAAATATCTTAACCACTAAAAGCCAGCTTCCCAGAAGCCTTTTATTGTGTAACCAGTGTGCCTTATGGAATATTTCAGACAACTTTTAAATATGATTTGTTGAACAAGCTATAGTAATCAGGTTTTATGTATAAAGTTAGACTTAACTGTAATTACAAAATGCAGTACAATGGCTTGGTTTCTGGGGGAGGGGAAACGCTTCTCATGAAAAACATATACAAGAAAGAAAGCAGAATTATGAACAGAAAATTAACTGCCGTTAATTGTTAGAAATTCACAATCTATAGGTTATACCCTGGCTTTTCTTAGGAAGCTGGAGGTGACAACTACTTCCAAATTTTGTTAACAATAATTCTATTGGATAGGCTGAACAGAGAGATGACAACTGGCCTAAAATCATCGAGTTGTTTATCCTGGCTGAGAGTGGATTTGAGTCAAGATCTCACTCCTGGTCAGGTATCTTAATTACCATGTTACATTGATTCATTCAATTGCCTATAATATGTGATAGCAACAAATAGGAAATAAACCTTAATATGAAAATTCAAATATATTACAAGGTAAGCCAATTTTTTTTTCATTTAAAAGCTCCAGTGTTGAATGTTCATTTGAGGAGACACAGTTCTATTCTCACTAAATCTTGTGCCAATATATCCTTTTTCCTTCTCTGATTTTTCTGTTGAAGACAGAGTCCCAATAAATTTATACTTTTGGAGAAACCCGAACTGTTGGAAAAGATTGCAATTTTATTTCAACTGACTTGTTTTACTGCTTTGAATGATAAATATTGTTTTAAATATCGAAAGTAGTTTGGATGAAACCTCCATTATGAATATAACTGGGAGTACTTGTTCGCCCTTTTAAAAGATTCTTATCAAGCAAATGTGAGTAGATAAATAGGTATCACTTATGTTGGAAGATAACAGAATTCCATTCCATTCCTCAGCGTATAGTAATGCTGGCCACATGACCACGGACAATGTCTTCAGATTGACTCCCTCAGCTAAAAAAAATATGAAAATGAGCACTCCCCCTTAGAGTCAGACACAACTGGAAAGGTGAAACCATTAACCTTTTTATCACAAAATTAATAATGTCAAATCAATAGGAGCTTAATTGTATATACAAAGTTATAGCAGAAAGAAGACAAAATATTTTAGACACCTATTAAAAATGGCCATCAAAATAATGGCTGATCCTTCAAGATGCCAATAAAAATATTATCAACATCACGTGGGGTGGAGTAGGAATCACTCTTAAGAATGTGTGAAGTAGCTGTTCATGCAGAATAGCAGAAGATAATTTATATTTGTTTTAAAATGTGTCTGGTTTATATTTTGTAGAAGTCTTCCCTTAATTTTGTTTTCCGTTTCAAAATACCAACTAGGTTATTTTAACTCTGTGATACACACGTTATTAAGTCTTCTACAGCTTCTGTAAAACAAAGAAATCAGAACTAGCTCATGGATAAACAAACCAGGATTGGTATTCCAATCAGAGGCATACATAACATTTTTATTTCCATTGTGGCTACAGAGCTGTGGTAGGACTCTTCTGTGCTGGAGTTTGTGTGACTTAATGGAAACGTGTTATTTGGGTGTAGCAGTAATTTTGCTCCCTTTGGGTTTTCAATTGTTTTTGTTTTCATTTATTGACTTTGGTACCTGGATATAGCAGGTGGTAGGAAATTATGTTCCAAAATGGAAACTAAAGTAGTTAAAGTGCAGATCGAAAATAAGAACAGGAGCTGGAGCTGTAGTTGTTTCTGAGGGCTTCTTAAAATGATAACGGACAGCTGGAAAATGATTTTTTGATACTGCATTTAATTCTCCAAATGTTGATATAGTCCTTTGTAAGTGTAGCGTCTGCACCCAGGTGACTCCAAATCCAGTCTATAGAGACTTGTTTTCCCATAAGTATCCATGCATGCCAAGAGACCATTAGGAAAGATGTGAGATCTTTGATCCCTTCTGTGTATCAGTCCAGTCTTCCCTCTCTTTTCAATGCATGTGTCCTTCTTGTGAAGGAAATGTAAGTCAAGAAGAACTGCTTGTAGCCTCCATCTGTGATAGATAGTACCTTTCCCAGATGTATTGAACTTGAACTCCAATACTGCCAAAATAACTGGAAATTATATAATTCCAATTACATATTCCAATTATATATTATATATTTCCAATGCACATTACATTAACATGTTAAACTTAAAATCAGAGATATAAATACATTCAAAATCTCTTTTAAAAGATGTGTTTAGGACCTTTTAAAAGCCAATAATTTAGCTCAGCAAGCTGAAAATTAATTGGGAATTACAGCATTTGAATTTCAATATATCTGGAGTGTATCAATTAGGAGGAAACTAGAGTAAATCTTTTGTTTTTAGTCTATAAAGTTGAACTTCAGCTTCACAGTTTTATCTTCAGATGAAATCAGTTGCTTGTCCTTGAATCTCTTGGATAATAAACTTCTTGGTAAAATAGAATAGAATAGAATTATTTATTGCCAAGTGTGGTTGGACACACAAGGGATTTGTCTTGGTGTAGATTTTGTTGTTTTTGTTTTAATAAAGGCTATAAATAATACGAGGGCTATCCACAAAATAGATTACGTTTTCGTCTGTAGCAAGAAGGGGCGGAGCTAGCGTGGCCATCTTTGGTCTGTGCAAATACCGCTCAGTCTGCATCTAGTCGTGCTAGTGGGAGGTTTGTATCGTTGCCCGTTATTTCATAGCAAACGTTTGAAATGTGTGCTGCAATTGAAAATCCCGCGAGTTGTGAGGTGCGATCAGTGATAAGGTTTCTGTTGACAAAAAACCATAAACCGATTGAAATATTTTGGCAACTGTGTGAAGTGTACGGGGACAACATCATCACTGAAGGTGGAGTGTGCCAATGGTGCATTAAGTTTAAAAATGGCCGAACTACGGCACTCGAGAAGTCCTGAATGCTTTCAAGTGGGAGATTTTTCCTCATCCGCCCTACAGCCCCGATCTTGCACCAAGCGAAAGCATTCAGGACTTCTCAAGTGCCGTAGTTTGGCCATTTTTAAACTTAATGCACCATTGGCGCACTCCGCCTTCAGTAATGATGTTGTCCCCATACACTTCACGCAGTTGCCAAAAAATTTCAATCGGTTTATGGTTTTTTGCCAACAGAAACCTTATCACTGATCGCACTGATCCTCACAACTTGCTGGATTTTCAATTGCAGCACACATTTCAAACGTTTGCTGTGAAATAACGGACAACGATACGAACCTCCCACTAGCACGACTAGATGCAGACTGAGCGGCGGACGCACAGACCAAAGATGGCCACGCTAGCTCCGCCACTTCTTGCTACAGACAAAAACGTAATCTATTTTGTGGATAGCCCTCGTATATAGTAAATATTTTCTTTAATCCCACATTGATTTTTGTTCTGTTTATATGCATATGTATTTAATAAATGTTTCTTGCATTTGTCTTACGTTGTTAAGGTAGACTTAGTAATCAGTACAATATTGGAAAAATTAATACAATCTAATCCTGCAGCCTACACAATTTAAACGATTCTGTCATTAGTATGCTGTAGCTCAAGCTGTTTATCTTAATTTTTTTCAGCAAACATTGAATAATGGCTCTGGCTGTTACAATTCAAAACTAAGAACGTTCATTGAGATATAATGTTTCCAGTTTTAATGAGATTCAAGTTTTGCATTGCATTTTTTAAGAAAAAATCATTGACTGAATTTAGACATCTTAATAATAAGTACAGTCCAATAGGTAATTGTATGCACTCTTGGACAAATTCTGGAGGCAACTAGAGCATTTCTACTGGTAGCTATTGTACCAGAGTGGAGATGGCCTCTATGCTGATGATTGAGAGCCATTACAACTGTATATAACATCAGATTTATGAATGCTGCATTGACTTCAAGTAAGTTTCCAGTTATAATTCAAAATAGCAATTTTAGCTTTCAGAACACTGGATGGCATGATTTCCAGTTTTCTCAAAGACCTCCTTCAGATATGATGTATCATCTTGTGTTCATCTCAATATTCGTTTGTTTACAGTTTGTATATCAAGCTTTGAGAAGACAGTGTATGCTTACATTTTTTCTTAAAAATTTACCTAGGACATATGCCATCAGAAAAATAAGAGATGCCTTTAGAGAAAACAAAAACATCAACGAATCATCAGAAATAGATACACTAATCAACAAAGCAAAAACTAATCTGGAAATGATACATCGGCAGGTAAGTGATCAATTAATTAAACTCCATACTTGATAATAGTATTCCTTTTCTTCAAGTATATAATTCTAGTCTGTTTCAGTCTCTCCATGAACGTAGATTAAATATATATATCAGTTATCATGAGTATACCCATGCTTCTGATTAGAAGATACAAAAGATAAAATAGAAATTTACATTGTTGGCACTTTAAAAAGAGCTTATGAGAAAAAGAAAATGGAAACCATTGCACATATAAATATACAGTACCTTAAGAAGCCCATAAGCCTAACCAATCACTCCCATTGTAGCTGGTACTCCAAAATGTTAATAGAAATCTTTACTCAGCTTTACTACCTGTGAGCCTTTAACTTAGAAGATACCAAAATAACGATTTAAGTGCAAAAAAGATATCTTTTATCACTGCACTCTGATCAATAGAAAGAATTGTTTCTACATCTATCTTGTATACTGTATTCTAGCTGCTGTAGTATTATTTACATTTCTTGATAGAAAAATTAGAATCCAATAGAATTACCAAATTAGTTATTTGGAAATAAACCTTATTGAACCTTTTGTTGCCCCTCTCTGAATTAGGAAGGCACAGATTGAAGTCTTTGTAAGTTGAGTTGTCTCTACTATAGCTCATTAATGACACATTGTTCTGCAATGCTAAATATGACCCTAGAAACCATTTACAGGTAATCCTTGACTTATGACCACAATTGAGCCCAGAATTTATATCGCTAAGTAAGAAATTTGTTAAATAAGTTTTGCTCCATTTTACGACATTTCTTGCCACATTTGTTAAGTGAATCATTGCAGTTGTTAAAGTAGTAACAAGGATGTTAAGTGAATCTGGCTTCCCCATTGACTTGCTTGTCAGAAGATTGCAGGACTCCAGGACACTGCAATCACCAGAAATATGAACCAATTGTCAAGCATCCAAATGTAAATCATGTGACCATGGGGATGCAACAATGGTCATAAGTGTGAAAAATGATCATGTCACTTTTTCCAGTGACGTAAGTTCGGATGGTCACTAAATGAACTGTTGTAAGTCGAGTATATTTATTGATTATAATTGCTAAAAGTTGTGCTATCAGTTGGAAATTAGGGCCTAAAATAAGCCTACCACATTTAAAAGCAAAGAAAATCTGCAAAGTTTCAAAACCCAGTTCTGCTCCCAATCTGCCAAGAATTTCTGAACCAGATAGGAAAGGATAAAGGATGTGTGCGTGCATTTCATTTGTCTTTGTCAGTTATTTATTCAGTTTATATTTCATGTTTTCATTTGTTCAGTTTATATTTCATGTTTTGTTTTACACTTGGAGTGTCTTATAATAAAAACAGAAATAGATAAAAGGGAAAACAATAAATATTAAAATCTTGATTGTCATCTTTAGTAGGAAACTCTCCAATTGATGCACTGCGTGATCTTTTGAGTATTACTCATCAATTTGTTTTATAATATAAAGAACATACCAAAACAATGCATACATTCTGATAATATGCATTCTGATAGTGACAATAAATTTGAGATCTTCTTCCGAGCATGGATTCTTAGGTAGCCAGAGTACTAGCCAGTCAGGAATAAAACATTACAGCAAGCCCAGGAATAAACCAAAGAAAGATCTAATAAGCAGAAGAAACCAAAATAACCCATTTAAAACTCACCCTGTTCAGCTGGCTGCAAAATGCTGACTAGATTGGAAGAAAAACTAAAAATCATCTAAAATAGAATCAATGTTGTAGAAGAATATGGCTAGTTGAATGGAATTTTAAATAGGGGTACTAATGATAGTATTTTTATATTTGTAAACTTACATAGTTTCAAATTTTCATGGAATCATCTGAAATATTCATCCCACTTTTTATTTCAGAAGGGCATTAAAACAGCCACCAAAATTGATGAAATAAGTAAAAATATAACTACAAGTTTGAATTTTGCATGCTAAAAATAATAGCAGCTAACATACTATATTGTAAGATTTGTCCTGTGTGTTTAATGCAATTGCATGAATATTTTGGATTGTATTTAAGTTTACTTTAGCAAGTATACCATATTCAGTAATAAATAGGTGTTAGGGCTACATGGGAAGTTTTAAATATAAAAATATTTTCAAAATGATATATATTATATCCTATTATAAATTAATGTCTAAATGCAGACATGGTTACTCAGCAAATTTCTTAGACAGTTTTACACAAAAACTTCTTCATTTATAATAAAAAGAAATTTCTTCATGATACCTAGAGCAATACTAGCACTGCTGTATTTCATGCACATAATTGTCTAATTTCTATTAATAAATTTTAAGGGTATTCTCATTATTTTGAAATGTCATATTTTTTATTGCCTATTTATATGTGAATAATTTGGATAGTAGCTAGGACTTTTAGAAATGTTTAAGTGTAAAATATTGATAGTTTTTAAACAATAGAGCTGGAGCTGATCAAGCATATGGTATTTTGAAGTTCAAGGTTTATTAAAATGTAGCACGGCACCTTTAGCTGACTTTCTTTTTCCATGACATGTCAGTAAAACTTAAATAATATCCCAGCTGCCTAGTAATTTGTTGCTTCTGTGAAATCAAATTTATATTCTTTTTAAATGCTAATTTATGGTTTAGTCATCAAAATGACCGTTGGCGTCTCAGGTTCATAAATAACTGCTTGAATCAGTCTAGGAGAAATTGTGGAAACATGACAGATTATTGTCATTTAGTTGTGTCATTCTTAGGGCTTGATAAAATTTTTTAAAAAGGAGCTTTCTAAAGTTAAAAAAAAAAAATCACAAAAGAGCATTCCTGTATACTTTTTAAGTTTTGTAGGTTATTGATTTTGTTATGCAATGATAAAAAGCAGAAAACTTTGTTCACAAGAAACAGTTAAAAGAACACTTTGTTCTGTTCTATTCTGCAAGGACCCAGTAAAGGAGCAAAGGGTCTGTGGGAACCCGGTGGGGGAGAGGACTGAGAGAACCCTGTGGGGAAGCGAAAGGCCTGTGGGGACCCAGTGGTGTGGATGGGGGGAGATAGGTAAGGGTGCTACAGCATCCCTGCAGTGAGTCATAAGAGCAATCAACTGCAGGGGCACTGCAGTGGCCATAACTTCAGGCCTGGGTATTAAGTAGCTTTTGGAGGGTTGGCCATAACTTCAAATGGCCATTAAGTGGCCAGCTGTTAAGTGATGAGTACTGTATCAAAACTTTGAAAAACTACTCAATTGTTTTGCAATTCCATTTTCTGCAGCATGTTTCTCTATATCTGAATTCATATGAAAATCTAATGGTGCATTTATTTGTGTGGGAGAGTGAACAGTCTTGTTTCTTTTTCTGCAAATCATAATGAAGTAGTATAAATTGTCTCTCGGGCCATATTGGATGTTTGGATATGTGAGGAGTAATACTTAGAGAAGTAATCTTTTGCCATGCTTTTAGAGATGGCTGGTCCTTTTAGTTGTCTGACAGTAAATTTAAAACTGGGATTTTAGTTATCTGAATCCAACTTTTGTTACCTTCCCATTGGGACACTGGAAAGCAACCCTCCTTAAGGGTTTTATGCTTCCTTATTACAGACCTCAGTTTCATTCTTCAGCTCCAACAGGGGCTAGGCAGTGAGTGCTCTTCACTTAAATCCTTCTGTGTTGAATAGCATACTCTAGATTGAGAACAAATCACAAAAGAACTAGCTGCTTATTAGTATTACTTTATATAAACTGTTCCAGGCTTTCACAGCTGATGGAAATGATCAATAGAAACTGGCATGAGATCTCATTGGAACTATAGCACATATAGTTCCTATCTCCTGACTTGTTTCACTGCCCTTCATAAATGAGATCTTTATTCAGCCTGAGCCAGCTCACTAGTTGCAGGCTACTTGGGGCAGGAGGCTTTATCAATGGTAATTCATACCCTTGTTACTTCTTACCTGGGCTACCAGATGAGGTGTACATGAGGTTGCTCTTGAAGTCTACTCAGGAATTTCATCTGATATGAAATATAGTGGTCCATTTGCTGGTAGTTGGGAGGCATTTTAACCATCTAAATTTCTGTGGGTGCTGCATTGACCACTGGTTGTTTCCAGGTACAGTTCAAGCTTGTGGTATATAGGGCCCCAGCATAAGGAAGAAACTGTCTTCTCTAGAAGACATTTCTCTGTCCTGGTCAGTTGTCCTAAAAAGGGTTCCCGATTCTCCCTTGTGAAGAGTAGTACAGAAACAGATCTTTCTCATGATGATCCCATTACTAGAGCTCACCCACCTGCTCTTTAGAGTCATTCCTCTACTGTCTTGTCAAAGCAGCCTGGGAGATGTTTGTGAGTAGGGTCCAGCAATGATTAATTCTTTGATTGAGGGAGTTGTTCCTTTATCTTCTAAAAAGGCCTTGGTTCATCCCCTTCTGAAAAAGCCATTGCTGGACCCCACCATACTGAATAATTTCCCCCCATATCTGACTTCTTTTTAGAGAAAGTACTTTCACAACAGTTTCAGAGGTTCTTGGAGGAAATGAATTATCTAGATCTTTCTCAGTCAGGATTCAGATCCGGGTATAGCATGGAAACAGCACTGGTTGTGCTTTTGGATGGTCTCTGGCAGCTTTCAGTACATCAACCATGGTATCCTTCTGGATCGTCTCAGAGGATTGGGGCAGGCAGTACATTTGCCTGCTTTCTTCAGGGACAATTCTAGTCAGTGAAGATTGGGGAGGAGAGGTCCCATCCTCAGCTCCTAGGGTGTCACAGGATTTAGGGTTCTCTCCTATTTAACATGAGGCTGCTAGTGAGTTTATATGCACCATGGGGTCTTTATCTGTTGATGATACTTACCTATTCATCTCTGCCCCTGGTGAACTAAGACATGCTATAGACTTTTTTTAAAAAATTTTTATTGGTTTTTAAGACAAACAAAACATAAAAACGTCAAGCTATCTTCCATATGTGTACATACAGTGTGTTGGTTGGTTTACAAATTGTTTTGTGCTTCCATTTCGCTGTCTTCAATTACAATTACATTGTATATAA